TACCTAATCTGAAATGAGTTGAGTCAGAAGAAAAAAATCGGACTGTAACATTGATATAAATTTGATTTTATCGCAGAAACCTGGACCCACAATGCAGCACAAGTAATCTTGTTCTCCGGACTTGTAACTATGGTGCGGAAAACAAAGAAGATTATAAAAGTAACTTACTTGCTTTAAAAAATTGCACAGAAATAGTAAAGTAGATTCTCTTTTTTTTTTTTTTTGCATATTCAAAGACTTTGTTATAGTAATACAACTTACATTCGATGTTATTTAATGTAATAGTCAAGGCATTCAAGAGCTGGGTTTATTTCAATTAAACAAATTAAACCCCCCCCCCCCTTTAAAGCTGCACCGTGAAAATATTACATGTACTTATTCCAATGCAATAAGGAATTTAAATTCTGATGAATTTCAAATTCAACCCATGCTTAGCGCTTTCCAGTACTTTCAGTACTTTAATATTTCTTTGTAGGGGTCAGTTTTGCTTGTCTCCCACCAAGTAACTTCCTGATAACTTAGTACATAAAACTGTGTTTTGCACCCAAAGGCGCATAATTGCTTGCAAAAAAAAAAACATGTTGTTTTGTAACTTTAAAAAAAATCGTATAATTTTTCATTTATGCATTGTTCTCAACTATTTTAACGCTTTTATTACTAATGATGTGCATAAATTTTGACGGATGAGATTGGATTCATACATTTTACAAAGAAGACGATGCGCACGCGGTTGTACTAAAAATCGTTTACTTAATATACGTTTGTATTGTTTTACAATGATGTAATGATGGTTATTAACATTGATAACTTTCTTTTTGTTTCATCTTGCTTCGAAACCCGGCAAATACAAACTAGAATAGGTCCTATGCATGTGAATAACAATAAGGCAACTCGGTCGGAGCTTCTCGTGGACATGGACCCAAATACAGGACTACAAGTAAAAAAAAGCATAGAAAATTATCTTTAAATCGTTTGGAAAACCAGACATTGAATATAAGTATCATAACAGATTCACAGTCCAGTATATCAGGTACATCAATCACCTTTGATACAGTTTGCATTGCATTAGTTAGTTGAATGTGTATACATGTATACTTGAATTGTCGTTTCACTGTAGATTGACATCGAATTATAAGCAATGTCTGCCAGTATAGCTTTTGATGTTGCTTCTATAAAAAAACTATTTGTTGAAGAAAGTTAACTTTCAAGATTAGAGGGAGACATTAAATATATATAATTAAAAACACATATCTTTTCTAACTTGCTTTTACTGGGCAACATGATAAGCATCATTTTTAACCATCTGCCTTCCTTCACTAAAGCGATTAAACCAATCATTGATTGAATTTATAGGAAGTCATTTATCTTAATAACCGTATACAACTTATTATAATTATGATACCTCAAAGGAATTTCTAAAATATACAATAAATTGTGCAGTCGATTGTTAAACGAGTTCGACTTAGACAACCATTTTTCGTGACAAGTGACCTATATAGTGACGTCATTTTCATATTGTGACGTCACAAACAAGAAGAAAAACTTTACTCAGCATATGATATTTATAGAACTTGTGTATGGCTATGTGTTTACCAAATTTTACTCTAATCTGAATGGTGGTTTTGTAGAGATAGAGATATTTCGCGAACTTTTTGATCATCCCTCGTATTTGTTGGAACTTTCTCGTCAATGATTCCATTTGCTAGATATTAAATTGGAAACAAAATGTCATTGGAATATAGTAATACAAAGGTGAAAATCAGGAATGGGGAACATGTTCATTGTTAAACAGCATAATGTATCAATTCATATTAATTTTTTGAATAAAAATGAAAATATAAAATACTTAAGGAATCTGGTTTGGGTCAGTTTACGCTTTATAATCCGCGAAGCGGATTATAAAAAAGCGTAAACTGACCCAAACCAGATTATACTCGATAATATGGCCAAGAATTAGAGTCATTCCTTATAATTTAATTTTAAAATAATTAAACAACTTTGGATGTAAAATTGTGTTGCTTTTTACGAGTTCAAATTTACCGCGCAACAATACAACCGTAGTAACGGAAGTGATGTGAAGCGAGGGGAGGTAATAACTGATACATGGATCTAGCAGCCATGATGTGTGTTTACATGAGGTAAGATCGAGTAAGTGTTTGAAGTTAAAGATAAGAGTTATTAAATCTTGAATTTTCCATGGACTCCGAGGACTGGAAATGAGGGGATTGCATGGATAAGATGATTAAGCTGGTCGTCAAGGGGGCGTGTCCCCATACCAAACCAGATTATACAAAATGTTTTGCGTTCCTTTTTGGAAATCAACCTATGAGAGGCGAGAATATAAACAAAATTAAATTATTTAAATATAATCATAAACCATCCATTGCCTAAGACTTTGTTTTGATCCAATAAAGTGAAAATGAAAGGTTGGAAATTGCAATATGTAACCCAAGAAATGTCAAGAATGTTTTGTAATCATTTATAAATGAATATATTTTGGTTTAAAACAATTAAAGCAAAAAAGAATACAGTCAAGTATCATTTTCTTAAACTTTTGGGATTAGGAAAAACCTTTCAGTAGAGATATTGAATATTTGAGATGTAGGTAGACATGACCTTCCAGATCAGTTCAGGTTACTTAAGATAACAGTGTTGGAAATACCAAGTTAAATTACAATTACTTCTGGAATTCAAGTAAACTTATAGGACATGTAACAGAATGTATGTTGCAAATCAAATATATAGTCTTATTTTAACTATTTGGTTATATTTACACACAAGAAGTGACCCAATTAAGCAAGTTGCTTAAATCCCTAACAATATATCAATTATTTTTCGGAAGAGTTCTCACAGGAAGTTTTTATGTGTTTGGATTTTTATACAGATTGCTCAACCTTGAATATACATTTGGTTTAATTTTTAAGATGTTCGGGCTATCAAAGTTCCTCACAGGGTGCTTATATTTTGTAATTTTGTTCTTTCTTATTATGCAGATTTTTAAACTTGAGAATGTGCAGATTCACGTACATGTATCACAGACATTAATAATATTTATTGAAAGAATATACTGTAGAAGTACATTTTTCCGCGTGGTATTAATTTACGTTATGTACGCGGTCACAAACTTTCCGCGGAAATTTGTCCAAGCGTACTAAAAATGAATGTAAGGCATGTAGTGACAGTTTAAGAAATCCGCGTAATTTTCTACCCGCGGATTAAACAGAAATTGTGATTCCACGGAATTATGACCCCGTGGAAAAATGTACTTCTACAGTATGTTAGAGGGAAGGTACTTAGTCAATTAGTACATAAATAAGATTAGTTGAGTACACTAGTATTGCAAGCATATGAAATATGAAATTGCAGCCAAAAATCCTAGTTTGAAAATGGCATCAATAAAGTGCCAAATATCTTCATAGCAGCTTAATTGGTAAGTATGATTTACAAATTGGAATACTAGTAAATTTGTTACATGTATCAGGTAATGTAAATCTTTTGTAGGAATATCGTTAAACAAGACCAGTATACTTCCAAAATGATAATATTGTCTTTTACAGGCATTTGTAACCATCTCTAAGTTGTGTTATACCTTCTTGTATTTGAATATGATTAAGAATTTCAAATTGCTCTGCTTAAATTGGCTAATTAGAGAGTGAATGTGTCGCCTTTGGAGATACAAAATTTCGTTTTTTTCAAACAGCAGGACATGGCTTTCCTAGCAATTTTAAACAGGAATTATAATACTGTATAGGTAGTTCTCTTGAGTGAAACTCCCCCTATTTGGTTTAAAAAAAAACCCAGATCTTTAATTTTGATTAATTACAACCATTTATATCTAACTTGCCTTGAATAAGGTTTCTCAGACATTTCAGAAGGTATTAATAGACAGGTAAGTTTCTACAAGACCAAAGCTTTATTAGGCATTGAGAAATTAGGTAAAATACATCACATTTGGTAAGCTTTGATTGCCTTATGTGTTGCAAAACCTTTTCTAAATTAAGTGAAATTCAAAATATTTTATTCCAAGTCTACTGAGGGACTTGCTCATCCAGGAATAAAGATGTGTGCAAGTATCTAGCTGGAAAGGGGGGTCTTGGTAGTATTGGCCTTGGAACAGTTGACTTGCTTTGCTTCCCCCAATTGTGTGGGATGACTGCAAGCTGTGCCAACTTGCAGCCATGTGGCGTCTGCGCATACCAAGTCAACTGATAACTGAATGTTTGTGTGAAACTTGTAATAGACTGTCACCTTGTTGAAATGCTAATGTTAGTGTAAACTAAGCTAATAAGTTTACTCTTTGTGACAGTACTATATACTTTAGAGCTGTACTACATCTTACAGGCTTGAAAAATGAAAAATGTTGATATTTAAAGATTGATCTATGAAGTTTGAGATATTAATGATATATGATATACAAGATTTGATAAAGTAAGCTGATATGCTTGATATTTGAAATTTGAGATATGAGTTATTGATTGATTTGAACAGTTTGTATGTGTGCTGACCCTCCGCGGTTATCCCGGGACGGTTAGAAAAAAGAAACACACATTGTTGAATTTTGAATTTGGTGGGTTCTCCCAATTGAAATGGCGTCCCACAATTTTTGTATTGTGCCACGGCCAATACTCGCCACAATAAGTATTATTTAGAGAACGAGACAGGTTCTGTATCGTAGATACAAATTTGGGGGCAGACGAGTGCGAAAGCACGAGTCTCCGCCCCCAAATTTGTATCTACGATACAGAACCTGTCGAGTTCTCTAAATGATTTGTGACACGATCCAATCAAAATCAGCTCAATCAAAATTAACTCCGCCCACTATGTCAATAAGATGTTGATGTATATTTCATTTCTTTCTGAATCTCTGGTAAATCTTTAAAAAATGAATTCCCATGCCAATTAGGATTCGATGTAAATTTCACTGTATCCGTAGACAGCGTGAGATTTCTAGAAATTTCTAGTGTTTTGTCACATTAGTTTTGGAAAGGACGAGTAGCAAGATGGACGTAGACTTAGAAAATTGTGAAAAAACGCTTGATTTTTTAATTGATGAAGTTGACGACGTTACTTTATCACAGATCTGTGCAGATATGGAAACGGAATACCATGTGTTTGAAGGCATCCAAAATCTAAGTTTTTCTGAAAACTTTAATTTCGATGAAAATGAAGGCCTTGGAGAAAGCGGTTCAAATTTAATGGAGTTCGATATCGGGGATTTATCTTCTTTAATGGAAACCGAATGTGAAGTTAAGAAAGAACTGAAAGAGAGCACCAGGTTTGGGCCAGTCGTCAATGATGATGAATTGAAATGCCTCGTTGAAAATCAGGAAAACAAAAATACTAAAAGTAATACAAAATGGGCCGTTAAAGTTTTCGAAAGTTGGCGCGAGCAGAGAGCGGGGGACATTATCGAGCTTCACTTAATGGATACGAAATCGATGAACCATTGGCTAGAGCGTTTTATTGTGGAAGCGCGGAAGAAAAACGGGAGTGAATACCCTCCAAAAACGCTGTATCTCATTTTATATGGACTTTTGAGGCATTTAAGACAAAAAGGTGTCTACGATAAAAATTTTCTAGACGAGAAAGAAATAGCTTTTGTCGGACTACGAAAAGTTTTAGACGCAAAGATGAAATCACTCGTTGATAGAGGCCTGGGGTGCGAGATCCGGCAAGCTGACCCCATATGGCCCAAAGATGAGGAGAAATTGTGGCAAGAAAATGTTTTTGGGAAAGAAAACAGTGAACAATTACAACACACGATGTTTTTTTATTCATGTAAATTGTTCGGTTTGAGGGCCTGTGATGAGCACCACAAACTGCAATGCGAACAATTTTCTATTGGAAACGATATCCATGGACAGTTTATTCAATTTGTTGGTAGAGCATCAAAAACCTACAAAGGCGGATTTGGGCAGATGAATTTACAGACAAAGAACCTGAAGCATTACTGTGAGCCTGGTAAGTAAAATTCATATATATTGTATAATGTTACCTTAAGACACTATGCTTTAATTTAGGTTAGCGGAATAGGGGGGGGGGAGGCATTGCTGTGTAAGCCTAATATTTGAAGTAAATATTTATGTATGAAAGTAGCATTTAGAAGATAGAAAATATTTACTAGAAATTGGATATTTTAAAAGACTACCATGTAGTTGTTAGCGGTGATAATCTAATTACTCATAATCAATTATTTTACAGGTGATCGGTGCTTAGCAGAGTATTTCCAGATCTATCTTGATGCGCTAGATGGCGCGGGGCCATTTTATAGGCGTCCGCTTCCCGGAACCTCGGAAAAGCCTGTGCGTTACGGGACACAAGTCGTAGGAATAAACAAACTGAAAACTTTCATGAAGTCAATTTCGAAAAAAGGAGGACTGGAAGGGAATTATACGAATCACAGCGGGAAGAAAACCTGCGCTACTCAGTTGTATATAGGAGGTGTACCCGAGGCAGAAATCATGAATGTTACTGGTCATAGGTCAGAACAAGGCGTAAGAAAATACATGAAAAGCAACGTGGAAATGAAGAAAAGCATTTCTAAGATCTTGGATCCACCCATGAAACAGGAATCGCAGGAACCGTCTTCCGAACAGACTACTGGGGGTAAAAGAGCGCTGTCTCCATGTACTACAAATCGTTCCGAAGGTGACGCAAAAAAATTGTGCAGTGAAAGTAATCGTGCTCTGCGGGATTTAACAAACACGGCATCTGTGTTCCAAAATTGCCATTTCAACTTTTCATTTGGATCAAATTAAATGACTGCGTAAATTAGTGCGTGTGGTATTGCATTGAAAGTTAAAAAAAAATCCAGAGAGAAGTGTTGTTCACTGTATTGGAATGTGTGTTTTAATTTTTCTAATACGTTTCGTTTGGATAAAAGTGACTGATCAAATGTGATTGGAATAATTATTATATTGATTACATAAGAGCGAAAATTTTACTAGTTTTTTAAGGAAATAATTTTATATGATTCCAAACAGGAAAAAATCGATTTATTTTATTTTGAAAACTATTGAGCAATTAAAATACTGAATGCTTAAAATTGACTTTCTTGGTTTATTTTTAGATCGTTCTGTATTTCAGTTACAGAACGGTTGGTAGGCTAATACAGTACAGAAGATAGCTCCGCCCACTATACTCCTGTACTGTATTGCTAATACAGAACAGTAAACTTCAAAGAAAAACACCGCTATCGTGTCACAAATAAGTATAAATTCTATATTGAGTTTTATGTCATTTTTCTCTGTATAAATAAAGGATTTTTATGAAATGTGCATCTTTTCAAAAATTATTGGTACGAGGGCCGTTCAAAAATTCCGCAGACTGTGCTATTATTTACTCTTACAGACGTCATATAGTTATAAAATTTCACAGAAATATGTGTATCTTAAAGATTCCAATAAATTTTAGGCAAAATTTCTGTCTTTTAAAAAAATTGTACTAAAATTATCGGTAAGTTGATATCGTTGATGGAGAGGTAAGGCGCACGACAAAAAAATTGAAGCAAAAGCATGCGGATTCAAAAATTTAACTCATTGATTTTCTAAAATGTGCGATATTTTTCAACAATTTTCTCAAATGTACCTTTAAATTGTTATATTATTATGTATTTAGATTTCGGACGTAATATTTGAAGTACTAACAGAAATATAGTGATTTTTCTATGATGCGATTCCAGTGAAAACGACTGTGAGAATGACGTTTCCTGAATGGACGGCGCACCACACTTTTGTTAAAATATGTGTAATGCTCGATATATCGGCAACATAGATCCAAAATATGTATAATAAAACATGTAGTAAACTAGGCGACTCGTGGCATTCGCCCACAAATAGCAAATTGAAATTTTAGACAGTTAGACCTCTGTAAAAAGGCTATACGGGAGGACGGGAAGAAGATTATCTACGAAAAGTTAACTTTATCCGGACTGTAAAGAACGTGATTGAGAGTCACCAATATCACACTATATCTCATAAGTAGTTTTTGGTTTTAAAACAAAAAAAGAATATTCTTTACTTGTTAAATAGATTTTAAGCTTGACAAGAAATGGTGTTTTGATGTTGAGTAGAAAAGGTAACTCAAACTATACAGGTACTCAAGGGAAAATGTTGAGAAAATGAAAGCTCAATCACATATTTTTTATAATGCTTCTGACATCGAATATTCTGCTGCGCCGTGACTGAATGGTATGTCCTGGAAAATCACTCAAAATTAATACTAATTTATAACATTTTGATATGAAATTTTGAAGACCATATAAGTAATGATTCTTTTATATTATTTGTGTAATTTTGCCCGATTATGTCGTCAAATATTTCTTCTGTGAAACAAGTCCGCCTTATTTTTGAACGGCCCTCGTATATTCCAAAATAATTTCAATTTTAAAATCCTAACAAAAATTAAAAGTCAACATAAATGTCACAGACGTAAAAATTTGGCGTTTTGACGTTATTAGGTTCAATGCATTAAATGTTATGTATTTTAGCATCAAAATATTCTTCTCTCTCGAAAACTTACTCTTAACTGCTGATGAGCCTGATACGGATGAAAGAAAAGCATACCAATAATGATTAATTAAAAGAATAATTTAAACTTTAAAAGTTGTATTTATATATAAAAGTAAAACATGTGCATTGTATACTTGTACACTGTATCTATATATATCCTTGTCAGAATCTGTACAAGAGTACCATTCATAGTTCGAATTAAGGCACGATTTATCTAAATAAAATAACAAGAGGCCCAAGGGGCACATCGCTCACCTGAGAAGCTTTGACCATTTTGTTCTTTACCAGATTTCCCCCTTGTAATACACATTCCAACCCAACCCTACCCCACTGATCATAATTTAGACATTTTAGAATCTATACTACCCCAGAATGCTTCCATGTGCACATAAGTTTCAGCTTTTCTGGCCAAGTGGTTCTTGAGAAGAAGATTTTCAAAGATTTTTCCTATATATTTCTATGTAAAACTTTGCTTTCCCATTGTGGCCCCGCCTTACCCCGGGGGTCATGATTTGAATAATTTAGAATTAACACTACATGTACCCCAGGATGCTTCCATATAAGTTTCAGCTTTTGTGGCCCAGTGGTTCTTGAGAAGAAGATTTTCAAAGATTTTACCTATATTTTTCTATGTTAAACTTTGATTCCCCATTTTGGCCCCGCCCTACCCCCGGGGGTTATGATTTGAACAATTTAGAATCTAAACTACCCTAGGATGCTTCTACATAAGTTTCAGCTTTTGTGGCCAAGTGATTCTTGAGAAGAAGATTTTTTAATTACCCCACCCTATTTTTGTCTTTTCTTGATTATCTCCCCTTATAAGGGGACTTGGCCCTTCATTTTTACAATTTAAATTTCCCTTTACCCAAGGATGCTTTGTGCCAAGTTTGGTAAAAATTGGCCCAGTGGTTCTTGAAAATAAGTCGAAAATGTGAAAAGTTTACAGACGGACATATGGACGACGGACAAAAAGTGATCAGAAAAGCTCACTTGAGCCTTCGGCTCAGGTGAGCTAAAAACATGTAAATTTAAAATGCGATGTTGCATAAGTGTCTTTATTTCTAAGTTGTTTTTTTTAAATGAGGCAAACCATACTTATATTTTCTCCCGCAATATATATGCAAAAGGATGTAGAGAATTTGATTAAACATGTTTTCAATTACTTGATTTATTTAATTGGCGGCATTACTGGGTTTTTATTTTTTCTCCATAAAAATGTTAGCAAGAAAGAAACGTCAAATAAAATATCTAGAACTTCGCGTAAAATAACGTCATTTTGACGTTACTGAAACTGACACCAACACCGTGCGCAACGTCTATACAATTCATCTTCAATGGATTAACTGGCTTCCGCTTCTTAGTGGCACATTATCCCACGACACAAGACAACGGCCCACAGATCTATTTCCTGTTCTGGGATGTGGTGCAAACATTCGAGAAGTGGGGGTTCCATGTAATATATATGCCTCTATCAATAGGTCTTTCATAAACATACACTTTCCTTCACCCTCCTCTACTATGGCAGTCTTCAATCCATTTACATCCAGTTGCCTTTCTTGCTGACCCATTACATCTTTTAAAAAAATCTGAAACAATGTATTAAGCAGAGGAATATGTAAATGGCACACTAGACGCCTTTTACTAAATGACAATGAAATCACCTGGAAAACTTTTATAGATGCATATGATTGGGACAAAACACATGGACTCTCCATTCACCACAAACTCTCCCATCAACATCTACACCTCAATTCTGCTGATACATTGAGAAATCACCTAGCAGAGGAGTGTCTCAATGCTGATATGCTCCACCTTATGAAACAGTACCAGGAAAGTTTGGATATTGGGTCAACTGCCACATCTCGCTGTGAAGGGCCAATAAAACTTCTGGAGCAGACATCCATTTTGATTGACGTATTCCATGACCGCCGACCAATAGCTGATCTCAAAGATGAAAGACTTCACCAGATTTCAAGTGTTTTTTCATTTTTCCTACAATGGGAAAAAGGTGGGTCAGCAAAACAGTTAATGTCACATGAGACACGAGAAGATGTAAAATTTCTCCTTCATGGATTTCAGACATCATAATCAATGAGATCAAGTACACTGTTACCCCAGGCTTCATAAACAGCGATGTCATTGAGTACATTTTCTCACAACAAAGAGATGTCCACCATGGTGCTGGAATGAATCCTAATTATCTTCAATACTGTTATGCTACCAATAGCATAACTTTGTACCAAAGTGTAGTGTCCAAAAAATTAAATTCAGCCAGGATAAAGTCGAGCACACAGGGTGGATCTGCTCTACCATTTAAACAGCTCTCTAATGAACTTAGTATAAAGTAAATATTCAGAAAAAAATACTGCATGTAACTTACAATCTGTATTCCTGTCAAAATAAGACTGCATGCCTAAATATGTACATAAAGGGACAATGTATACATGTACATATGCTAGTAAATATATTTATTGTATCAAATCTTATAATGAAAAATGTTTAATGCTTTTAGTTTTGCACATAATCAGTAGAAAATCATACTACCATACATAAAGGTGTGAATTTATTTACCCCCCCCCCCCCCTTGAAAGCAAAGTATAATTGACAAACAAATACTTGCATAGTAAAGCTGACTTGAATTGTTTAAAAAAAAGTTAAAGGTGCAATTCATATATTTATGAGAAATACTTACAATTCATCTACATACCGCTATTTGTTGATCCAATATCTTTACCAACCGCAAACGCATGTCATGAGTCCACATGGAAGGGGCATCATAGTACATAACAGGAACATCATAATGAAGTGCCAAGTAACTATCACAGGCACATAAAGAAATATATTTCTCTGGTGCCAAATTAAGGTAGAGTGTTTTCATCACAAGCATGTGATAAATGTCCACATGCATATATGTAGTAGTAAACTATGTTGGGAGTCAAATTGTCTCACTGAGTGTAACCCGGATTAGGCATCTTTTCACTACTTAGAATGGCTTCTTTAAGGGGGATGTACAAGCTATATTCGATCAAGTCTGGTGTAAAATAAGAAATACCAATAATGTGCTTAATAATCTACCAAACTAGCCCAAAGTTTATGGGGCGCCGTTTTTGGTATTTACTGCCAAAAAGTGATATCACCTATTCGAATAGGTGATATCACTTATTCGAATAGGTGATATCACCTATTCATTTCCAATAGGTGATATCACCTATTCGAATAGGTGATATCACTTATTCGAATAGCTAATATCACCTATTCAGTTTGAATTGGTGATATCATCAACTGAATAGGTGATATCAC